GGAACCCCCGCCCGCCCGGCCGCCGGGCCGCCCGGGGTGTGGGACTGAGGCCGAGAAGGAGCCTGGTGGAGGAGAGGAGGGAGGCCGGCCGGCCGCGGTGCACGCCCCGGTACTCCGAGGCGCGTGAGAGCTCTAGGCCAGCCGGGGCTGCAGGATGAGATTGGAGCGAGGGCAGGTGCGGTCGGTGCACACCTGGCCGGCATAGTTAGAAGAGGCAGCAGGATCCAATATTTAAAGTCATCATCAACTAACAGCAAGTGCAGGGCCAGCCTGGGCTACGGGGAGAGGAGTCCCGGGCCAAGGGAACGGAGGGCTGTGAGGGGTCACACCTGAGCCGCTCTGTGTGGGAGGGAGAGAGGAGGGGCTCATTCTAGGACCCCAGCCTGCACCTTGCTCCGCAGAGGACTGCTCAGAGGCCCAACACCCTTCAAATATCCAGGGCTTCTTCCTATTTGCTCATCCCCCTCTTTGAGTCCACACCTCAGTGTGGGGGAGACCCTTAAACACAAAAAATAAAGGCATCGCCACTGAGACTCACCTTCGGTCCCCTCTTTTTTTTTTTTTTTTTTTTTTTTTTTTTTTTGACAGGATTTCTCTGTGTAGCTTTGGAGCCTATCCTGGAACTCGCTCTGGAGACCAGGCTGGCCTCAGAACTCACAGAGATCCTCCTGCCTCTGCCTCCCAGTGCTGGGATTAAGGGCGTGCGCAACCAACACCCAGTCCTTCGGTCCCCTCTTTTAATTAGTTTTTATTTTTCTCGGCTGCATAGTATTCCAGTGGCGTGCCAAGGGTAACATCTCCAGGCCCCTGGGGAGCTTTTGAGATACATTGAGCAGGGGTGTGACCGAGTGGCTGAGGTCAGTTCTGCTGACAGTTTCCAGGGCGCCCACCGGTTAGAGGGGGAACTTTGTAACCATCAGTCAGAGTCGGAGGTCCGTCCCTCCCCTGTCCTGAAGGCTCCCATGTCCTGGGAACAGACCAACTCTCCAGACCCTTCTCCAGGGCCTGGGCCACCCCACCCCACGCC